GGATTTTTATTGATAAATTTTTCTTACTTTTGATTTCTTTTATAATGGACATTATTCCTTTCTTTCTGTGCCTTGGAGTTTATAAAATTTGTTGTATTGATATAATAATCTTTTATCAATAAGAGGAATTTAGGAGACAAATCTGAATAGGGGTCAATAGAACAGAGGTGGCCCGTTTAGCCTCGAGTTTGATTAGAGTTATATTGTTCTTAGGGTTAACTTTCTCTGTTTGAATTTCCTCAGAGTTGCAGGCACAACTAAGGCCTTTTATGGCCTAGATTAGATCATAACTGAGGTGCACCCTGGATGATGGTGTCTTCTTACGGTCCCATACCAGAGTGATTTCTGTGTATAAATCAAGTGCTCTTTACAATTTAATGCGGGCCTTGACTCCATGTTCTTAAACTGAACTGAAGTGTATCTTATGACGTTGAGAGATTGTCCATTGTATATTTTTTTCGGATCAACAACTAGACCTTGTGGAACGTACCTTAGTCTCCATTCTCTTTACATCGGTGAGAGGCACCATCAGTAGCATAGGGCTACATTTTGTAAAAGCGACAAGCGAGGGTAATCTCCTTGACCAATTTGCTGTTGACTTGCCGCAGATAATTTGTAACTGGTGAGGATGGCGCCTCATTGATAATGCTGGTGAAAGATCTGGGAATGTACCAGGTCGATGGTCGATGCTGGAAATTTGCATGGAAACTTTGGCGGAGGATGCAGGACTAATTACATTTCACAAGGTATACCTGTCGCTCTGACTAGACGAGGTCAACTGGTATAAGGCTAAAGGATACTGCTACCAAACCTAGGGAGACATGATCTTGCTATTCATATCTAGATATCCTTCTTTTTACTCTTTGTAAATTGCTCATTGAATATTAGTTTCCATTTTGCAATAAATTTCGCATTGGATTGCATCCAGAACAACGTTCTCGTTCAAGATGGATAGCAGTCTGCTTACTCTGCTATTCAAGCTGCGGGCGTGCTAGCTCACGTTACCTTCCAGGTTAGGCCTCCGTCAACTCACAACTAGGTTAGGGAATTCTGACGATCTGGGGCTATCAGCATCGGGCCTAATCGGTTAGAAATCTTATTCCCGAGTCCTCATACGAAAATATTTTAATTATCAAGCGATACTTTTAAAATTAACTTAATTGACTGGATAACAATCTCTTGTTAAAGAGTTGAGATAAATAAGCTCTCGATCTATATTGTGGAGACTCATTTCGTAGGAAGCTGTATAATGAGGAAATTTGTTGATTGATCTCATCAAAAGAAGACGGCTCATTCCTGTTTCTTTGCGGTCAGAATAATCAATTAGCTACAAAATTAAATTGAAAGGTTCTCGATTATTTGTTTGTTTTAGTTCGTAATTGATCTTGTTTGGCTGTGGCATTTGAATTTATCCCATTTAATTTACACGTTGACTTGTTTTTTACGAACAGGTTCTATGCATAATTTTTTTAGGCCCTTGCCCTTTCATTTTAGTTAGGCTATACTATTTAATATAGTATCAGAGGCTTTCAAAATTTTCTTGAATAAGTCACTAACTTTTGGCGTATTTTGCTTATCTTCAGAGTTTGTCCTTAGATTGATTTTATTCAGGAAACAAACACATTTGTTCCTTTCATTTTTATTGTTTTCTTTGCCCTTCAGTCACCTCTATCCTCGAGATCCTCGTTACAAGAAAGCATATCTTCAAAGTCTCATCTTGCCATCGCCTTTGATCCTTCCACATCCTTGGCTCCTGGCATCGACTATAGACCTGCTGCCGCAACTGAAAACGCACCTGAAACTCGCCAAAAAGTTTCCTCTCCAGTCATTACCGCTTCAGATGACGTCGACGGTATCCTTTGTTCTACTTCCGAGCCATCCCAGCTGCTACCGGTCGATAACAAATCGGATGATCTTTTTCCTCGTGCATTACATTATATCGCATGGACAGTTGAATTTGTGCATTCAAATGATTCTCTTTGGTCGTGGGTACAGTCGCATGGGGGTTGGGTGAGTTTTATCCACCTCTTGACTTTTTTCCCCATTGTCTAACCTCTGCTCCTTTATTTTTGCCAGTAAAAAATGCCCGCCTTTTAATTATATTTTATTCTGTCCCATCCATTCTTCACACTTTAAGCAATTGAAGGGTGTTTTCTTTTCACATTGACTTATTAAGCCTAAGAATT